TTCCCCCTTTTTCTTTTCTTTCCAAAACTATTGAGCGTGCCGTCTTTAGCCAACTCTCTTGCTATCTCTCCCCAAAATGACCTTCTTGACCCAACCAAATCAGGTTTCAGGACGGGTCATTCACTGAGACTGCTCTTCTCTGTGTCACAGGGGACTCTCCGCACTGCTAAAGCAAAACTCTCTCTCTCTGCTCTTGTCCTCTAGATCTGTCTGCTGGCCTTTGATACTGTTGAACCATCAGATCCTCCTCTCCACCCTCTCCGAAATGGGCATCTCCGGCGCGGCTCACTCCTGGATTGCGTCCTACCTGACCGGTCGCTCCTACCAAGTGGCGTGGCGGGAAGCTGTCTCCGCACCACGTGGCTCTCACCACTGGTGTCCCCCAGGGATCGGTTTTGGGCCCTCTCCTTTCTCCCTATACACCAAGTCACTTGGCTGCTGTCATATCCCACATGGGCCTTTCCTATCATTGCTACGCTGACGATACACAACTAATCTTCTCCTTTCCCCCTTCTGATCACCAGGTGGCGAATCGCATCTCTGCATGTCTGGCAGACATATCAGTATGGTATGACGGATCACCCACCTCAAGCTGAACCCTGGCAAGACGGAGCTGCCTTCCTCCCCGGGAAGGACTGCCCGTTCCATGATCTCGCCATCACGGTAGACAACTCCGCTGTGTCCTCCTCCCAGAGTGCGAAGAGCCTAGGCGTGACCCTGGGACAACACCCTGTCGTTCTCCGCCAACATCAAGGCGGTGACCCGCTCCTGCAGGTTCATGCTCTACAACATTCGGAGAGTGCGACCCTGCCTTACACAGGAAGCGGCGCAGGTCCTGGTCCAGGCACTTGTCATCTCCCGTCTGGACTACTGCAACTCGCTGTTGGCTGGGCTCCCTGCCTGTGCCATTAAACCCCTACAACTCATCCAGAATGCCGCAGCCCGTCTGGTGTTCAACCTTCCCAAGTTCTCTCACGTCACCCCCCCTCCTCCGCACACTCCACTGGCTTCCAATTGAAGCTCGCATCCGCTACAAGACCATGGTGCTTGCCTTTGGAGCAGTGAGGGGAACGGCACCCCTGTACCTTCAGGCTCTGATCAGTCCCTACACCCAAACGAGGACATTGCGTTCATCCACCTCTGGCCTGCTGGCTCCCCTTCCTCTGCGGAAGCACAGCTCCCCCTCAGCCCAGTCAAAACTGTTCGCTGCTCTGGCACCCCAATGGTGGAACAAGCTCCCTCACGACGCCAGGACAGCGGAGTCACTCACCACCTTCCGGAGACATTTGAAACCCCACCTCTTTAGGGAATACCTGGGATAGGCTAAAGTATTCCTTCTAACCCCCCCCCCCCCCCCCAAATTGTAAAGTGGTTATCCCACTGGCTATAGGGTGAACGCACCAATTTGTGAGTCGCTCTGGCTAAGAGCGTCTGCTAAATGACGTTAATGTGCCCTTGAGCAAGGCACTTAACCCTAATTGCTCCTGTAAGTCGCTCTGGTTAAGAGCGTCTGCTAAATGACTAAAATGTATGTAATGTAAAATGTAATAAGTTTGTTCTGAAATGTCTGTCCTATATCTGAGCGATATAAGAAAGATCAGGAAACTATTATTTGTTTATATTGTTTTTTACATAAACAGGTGAACTCCAATCAAGTTGTAGTGACATCTCAAGGATGATCAAAGGAAATTGGATGCACCTGAGCACAATTTGTAGTGTCATAGCAAAGGGGTGTGAATACTTACACTACTGTTCAAAAGTTTGGGGTCACTTAGAAATGTCCTTGTTTTCCATGAAAACATACATGAAATGAGTTTTGAATAGGAAATATAGCAAAATGCATAGGAAATGTAGTCATTGACAAGGTTAGAAATAATGATTTTTTAATTGAAATAATAATTGTGTCTGTCTTGTTTTGTATGCTTTGTACAAAATAATAAAATGCAGGACGACAGGATATTTATAAACGTAGCTCTTTATTAACTAGCTATAACTGGCATGTCCATGTGTCTCTGGCCATGATCATCTTTAGAATGACCTCACCACCTGGGTGGTCTTAACCAATCATAGCACAGTATGATATGACAGTAGAATGCATCCAATTACAATTCAGTATGCTGACACATATGAATATTACATCCCCCTTCTTTAAAAAAAAGAAAAAATATGTAGAACAACAAAGCGTTTCTTTTGAATACATGCTCTGTAGTTTGAACTCGAGGGGCTTGTGGTCTGATTCCACAATGACTTGTCGTCCATAGACATACTGATGGAAACGCTTACATCCGAACAGAATGGCGTACAGCTCCTTTTCGATTGAGCGTAGTTGATTTCACAGTCTGTGAGAGATTTGGAAGCGTAGCCGATGGGTTTTCCTTCTTGCAGTAGCACTGCCCCTAGTCCATACTTCGACGCGTCCACCTGGAGTCTGAGCTCTTTGTTGGGGTCGTAGTAGGCAAGGATTGGTCCTGGTTCTCTCGTGATCAAGTCTTTCACTTTCTGGAAAGCGATGTCGTGTTGCTTGTCCCAGAGGAACTCACTGGACTGCTTTAGCAGCTGACGCAGGGGTGCATTAGCATTGGAGAGGCTGGGTGCGAACTTGGCTAAGTAGTTGACCATGCCAAGCACTGTTTCCAGCTCTGCGCGGTTCTTTGGTGGCTCCATGTCCTTTATGGCTGAGATCTTCTGCGGATCTGGCTTGATTCCATTCGCTGTGAGAAGATGTCCGAAGTAGCTGACCTCTGTAGCGCCGACTGTGCTCTTCTCGGGGTTGAGCCGGACTCCTCTCTCGCGGGACCTTTGCAGCATCGCGCTGAGGTTTCTGTCGTGTTCCTCTTTGGTTTGACCATAGACAAGGATGTCATCCACAATTGCCAGGACTCCGTCGAGGCCTTCGTACACCTCGTCGATCTTTCGCTGAAACTCGTCTTGGGCTGAGATAATCCCAAAAGGCAGGAGACGGAACCTGTAGCGTCCAAACGGTTGTGTTGAACGTTGTGAGCTTAGATGACTCTTCTGTGAGCTTGATAGCCCAGTAGCCTGATCTTGCGTCCATGACACTGAAGTAGCGTGCGCCCGCTAGCTTGTGTGTGATGCCTTCTAGCGTCGGTAAGGGGTAATGGGGGCGTTTGATAGCCTTGTTCAAGTCTCTTGGGTCGAGACATACTCTGAGCTTGCCTGTACGTGGTTTCTCCACCACCCACTAACGCATTGACCCAATCCGTCGGTTCTGTAACCTTGGTGACAATGTCAGATTAATAAAATGCAGGACGACAGGATATTTATTAATGTAGCTCTTTATTAACTAGCTATAACTGGCATGTCCATGTGTCTCTGGCCATGATCATCTTTAGAATGACCTCACCACCTGGGTGGTCTTAACCAATCATAGCACAGTATGATATGACAGTAGAATGCATCCAATTACAATTCAGTATGCTGACACATATGAATATTACAGTGTCCTTCAAACTTTGCTTACGTCAAAGAATCCTCAATTTGCAGCAATTACAGCCTTACAGACCTTTGGCATTCTAGTTGTCAATTTGTTGAGGTAATCTGAAGAGATTTCACCCCATGCTCCCTGAAGCACCTCCCACAAGTTGGATTGGCTTGATGGGCACTTCTTACGTACCATACAGTCAAGCTGCTCCCACAACAGCTCAATAGGGTTGAGATCCGGTGACTGTGCTGGCCACTCCATTATAGACATAATACCAGCTGACTGCTTCTTCCCTAAATAGTTATTGCATAGTTTGGAGCTGTGCTTTGGGTCATTGTCCTGTTGTAGGAGGAAATTGGCTCCAATCAAGCGCCGTCCACAGGGTATGGCATGGTGTTGCAAAATGGAGTGATGGCCTTCCTTCTTCAAGATCCCTTTACCCTGTACAAATCTCCCACTTTACCACCACCAAAGCACCCCCAGACCATCACATTGCCTCCACCATGCTTGACAGATGGCATCAAGCACTCCTCCAGCATCTTTTCATTTGGTCTGCGTCTCACAAATGTGCTTCTTTGTGATCCGAACACCTCAAACTTCGATTAGTCTGTGCATAACACTTTTTTCCAATCTTCCTCTGTCCAGTGTCTGTGTTCTTTTGCCCATCTTAATCTTTTATTTTTATTGGCCAGTCTGAGATATGGCTTTTTTCTTTGCAACTCTGCCTAGAAGGTCAACATCCCGGAGTCGCCTCTTCACTGTTGACGTTGAGACTGGTGTTTTGCGGGTACTATTAAATGAAGCTGCCAGTTGAGGAACTGTGAGGCGCCTGTTTCTCAAACTAGACACTCTAATGTAAGTTTGCTGATGATGGGCCTCTGTACGCCTATGTAGATATTCCATTAAAAATCAGCCATTTCCAGCTACAATTTCCATTTACAACATTATCAATGTCTACACTGTATTTCTGATCAATTTTATGTTATTTTAATGTACAAAAAAAAAGATTTTCTTTCGAAAACAAGGACATTTCTAAGTGACCCAAAACTTTTGAATGGTAGTGTATGTAAATTAGATTTCTGCATTTCATTTTCAATAAATATGCAAACATTTCTAAAAAACGTTTTCATATGGGGTGTTGTGTGTAGATGGGTGAGAGAGAAAATATATTTAATCAATTTTGAATTCAGGCTGTAACAACAAAATGTGGAATAAGTCAAGGGGTATGAATACTTTCTGAAGGCACTGTACATCATCGGTCAGGAGGGAGGACAGTCAGGGAGCATAGAAAATTCCAAAGACGACAAATAAACTGAATTGCAGTAGGCTAACAGATTTTAAAAAGTTGTTGTTGTTTTTGGTAACATCTTGTTTTTCATAAGATCTTTGGTAAGTAATTGTGTGCAAGAGCCATTTAGCAGACAGAATGAGGCTGAAATTATGCACTTACCCCTAAGTGCCCTGACATTGATGGCGATGGGGCAGAAATCCGAAGCGAAGGGGTAGTTGTACAGATTGACCTCACAGCCCACCACAGTATTCATGATGACCATGTGCTCTATAGTCCCGTTGCTGTGCACCAGCAAATCCTTGTTGCCGTGCTTTATCGTTGTTTGCACTCTAGATATGAGGTTGAGGACAGACAACTGAGGATTGATCTACTGAAACTGTCCCACCTAACCATTTAGCTACTCAAAACATAAATACTGTATCTCTAATTGATTTCTGTAGATCTTTCACTCACTATTTAGAAGATAATGTTATAAAAGGAATCAAGAATAAATTTAACATAGGTTATTGTATTCTGTTGTAAGTGGACTCACCCATTAGTCACATGGAGATCAGGAGTCCAGATTTTGCTGACAGGCAGGACCACCATATCATGATGATAGACTGATGTGTCCCATGATAAGTCAGGGTCTTCCCAAGACTGTAGTTTAGAATCATAATCATGAGTAGTATTACAAAATGTCACATTTACTTGAATGTCTCATTGGATTTTTTATGTGTACGTACCAACATAACTTGCAGATGACTCTCGAAGCGGAGGCCTTTTGTGTCCTATTAGGAAGATAATAAGTAAGGGATGAATGTCAACATTCTGTACATTACCTTGGAAAGAAACGGTGGAACATGTGTTGTTATATTGTTGTAAGTATGTTGAAGAGAGGGAAAGATGGAATTATAGGGTCATTGAGGTTGGTTGGGGGGGGGGTTTGAAAGGGATTATGGGGATGGGGAGGGTCTATTAGAAGTTAGTAGGGCTCTTTTTTATTTTCTCAGAAGTACTGAGTTAGGTAGGAGGATTTAGAAATGTTGTAACCCCGTGATTGACCACACACTCCAGCACAATAGGTGGCGGCATTCACCTTTTAACGTTGGTTTGCGGACCGCCATTATATCATACAAGAAGAAGAAGTTTACCTTGGAAATAATTGACTACGCAGTGGGACGAGGTGGAGCGAAGTCCCCTTTTAAATTTTTCCCGCTTATACCACAGTTGCCAAAGAAAACAATACTAAAGCACAACATTTACTGGTATAAATACTATTTTTTTCGTTGATTTTCATTTTTATAAGATAATTCATACTTTCTCATATTTTGGTTGCTAGAGACCCAGTCGTTCGTTCTATTTGTTGTGCTCGCTGGCAACCTTCTTGTCCCTTTCTTGCTAGTTAGCCAACTAGCTATGGCTAACACAGTCACGACCTCTGCTGCCAGAATAACAGCAAAGTAGATGCATTTGCATTTGTTAAAAGCTTTTTTCTATTGGCATTAATTTGGATACATCCATAACAATGAGCTGATCAAGCCTGATTTTGCCTGGCATAGCTAGAAAAGTTTGCCTTTCCGTCAGGATGCTCGACACTGTTCATTACGAGGAGATCGCATTGCATATCAAACACTCCTTGTTGTACCTGCGTTTACAATGTATCCAATTTCGGTTTGTGTGGTTTGTTGGTTTAGCTTTCTGTAACTTTGTAGCAAGTACGGTCTGCATGTGTAGGCACATAATGTGTCATAATCCAGATATATTTTCCAACTGTCCCGATATATTTTTCAACTGTCCCGTTAGCTGGTTTTAATGTCCATTTTAGAATGCCATTTTTAGCCAATTGTAAATGAGTATTCAACAATGCTGTGGTATAATTAATAATCACATAATGATACAACTGTCATTAGGTTATCTCTGAAAACTCATCACATTGTACAAAACTCAATTGAAAGGAATAGAAAGGGACTTACGACAGACAGAGTTTCGTACACTATTGACGGCACACTGATATTTGAGATGCATGATGGAGACTGTGGCTGACTCAGAGCTTCTTTCGCAATCAGCATGCTGGCCAGACATCGACGTGTCGTACAGGATGGTGTGGCAGTGTTGGATGGTTGGTTTGCACTGCCTGGTGTTGGATGGTTGGTCTGCACTGGCTGTTTTGGATGGTTGGTTTGCACTGGCTGTGTTGGATGGTTGGTTTGCACTGGCTGTGTTGGTTGTTTGGTCTGCATTGGATGTAGTAGTGGATGTATTGGATGCATTGGCTGGAGTCATTTCACTAGCTGAAATGGCTGCATTGGATAGAGGGTCTGCTGTAGATACTGTGGAACAAGAGACAGGTATTTAATTTCAGAATAATACATTGGATTTATATAGCGATTTTATAGGAACCAATGATGCCCTTCCAATATTTCAACAACAACCATACAATAAATAACAACTGAATCTAAATGAAATGGGATAAGGTTTTTGCATGGCTTCATAGTAGCATAAATACTTTAAGAAATTAGGAGATAGGAATCTCATTGGTCACTGAATGGAGGAACGTATAACGCCCCGCCCATTAGAGAATTGCATTCACGCTGTCATGCTGTGTCACGCGGTTGCTAAAATAATAGCCACGAAATCCCTGTAGAAAGTCAAGTTATGAGTCTAGAAACTGCTTGTATTCTTAAAAAGTACGTAATGTCACGAATCAAAAACTAAAACAAGTTAAATATCTCAGATCTCTGAAAATATTTATAATGTTGTGCTTCTTTTTCACATCATTCATGCTAATGTTGGGTTTTTTGAGCTAATGCCCAATTGACTCCCATTCACTCCTTGAAGGAGTCCACTCCTTGTCCTAGATTTACCCAGAATGCCCATTGACAAACGCATGGGCAATGTACACAATGGCCGTTAATACGAATCAAATGGAGTTTCCCATCTCCCCATTTAGAGTATTTCTGAAGGCTTCATAGTAGTGACTCAATATCTGTGAAAAGTGATCTAAACCTGATACTCTATCACTAGTCTTTATTGCTCCTGATTTAACGCACAAGTGGGCACTGGAAAACAACCTACTACGTGGCCAGCTTTTAGTGCAAAATGTTATACAGCTTCATACACTTAAATGTATAAGAATGTTTTATTTCTAATTGTTTTCATGGTTTTCATGACTTTAATAATATAGTCTGTTTTGAAAGGCAATGGGCTGCATTGCCCAGCCCAAGCAGTGTGCCAAAATGGGACGAGGCAGTTTTCAAAAAACATGTTTTGAATATTGCAGCTTGTGATAACCGTGTGTAAACGCTTGTTTCACAATGTTTACTTCATATCTGCTAATAGGAATGATAAAGATGATATTCTTCTAGTGCAATTTTTGCCTGTTTTAAGAAGAGTAAAATGGAGCCCAATGTCTTACCTGTTAACAAGAGTAGGGAGAAGAGACCAACATTTCAGCTTGCTGTGGTCCATGGGTCTCATCCCTGCATGTCCTCCTGTCCCAAAGCATATAGAGTCAGTTGGACATTGGTATACCAGTCTTAGGAGAAATTAAGACGAGTTTCCTCTAATGAAACTGTTAGAAGAAGGACTGAAAACCTACCTTTAGCTGCTTAGTGATCACCACTTGCCTTCTCCTGTCCTCTCTAGCCAGTAACACACCTGGGATGACCCTTATAAAGGCTGCTCTGGAACATTTTGTCACAGCAGTTTTCCACGAGAACATACACACCCCCTACAAACTGTCTACATGTGAATATGATCCTCGATATTGTACAGGATGTGCTTGGCTATAATCCCAAAATAATGAGTTTTTAAATTAACCTTCCAGGATTCATTTCACCATCTTGTGAAACAACAACCACAACAGACTGGTAATTACTATTTGTGACTGGTCGAAGGGGATATACCTCCACCTGTCATTAAATCAAATCAAATCAATAAAAAATTGCCCACATGCCACCGATTACAACAGGTGTAGACATTACCGTGAAATGCTTACTTACAGCACTTAACCAACAATGCATTTATTTTTTTATAAAAAATTAAAATAAAACAACAACACAAAAAAGTGTTGAGGAAAAAAAAAAGCAGAAGTAAAAAAAATAACAGTGGGGAAATGCAAAATACAGGGGGGGGCCGGTGGCGGGTCAATGGGGCGGGGCCCGGCTATTCCCGGTAATATGACATTGGATAGATTTTAAAGTGCATGCAAAAAAATTAACAAGTGCACACGTAAAATGGGGGGGGGGTGGGGGGGGGGGGTTTTAAATGTAATTTCTAATCTCAAATTAAACCAAAAGGCTTAAATCTTAACCATTTTTTTTAAAGGCCCCGGGTTTTAAAATCACCCAATAAATTAAAGGTCCATAACCCGAAAAATGTTTTTTTGTATGTTTATTCAGGGAGAGCTCTCCCCCAAAGACCAAAAAACATTTTTAATACCCCCCCTGGACGCCTCCTCCCCCCTTTTAAAGGTAAACTTTTCTAACATTTTCCCCCCTTTCCCCCCCCTTAAAGTTTGGGTCCCGCCCCCTCTGTTAGGGGGGGTTGACACACTGATAATTCAAAACATTTATCTGTTTTTTGGGGGGGGGGGAAACCCTTTAGTCTTTTTTTTAAAACCCAAATTAAAATCTAAAAATCCCCCCTTTGACAAAAAAATTTTTCCCCCCAACTTTCGGGTAATTTGATTTTCCCAAGCTTATTAATCTCAAGATCACATCAGAACAAATAAACATTTCTTTCCAAAATTGGGCGGTTTTTCGGGGGCCAAACCCCTCGTCATCCACCAAGCCTGGGGAAATCGTTTTTTCAATTCCCCGGGTTTTCAGAGCCCCCGGAGTCATTCCACCCCTCATCATTTTTTTAGAATATTTGCATTTCCCCAAACCCCTGACCCCCCACCCCTCGGCCCCAAAAGGGAACAAGACAAAAACCCCCTAATCCAGAATACCCATAAAAACCACGATCCTCCTAAGATGGTGGTTTGCTGGGGTTTTTCCATTACCAAATATTCATAAAACCCCCCTATCCCCAATGTACTAACTTTTTTGGTTCTTTTCACCCTTTATTTAGGGGCGTTAAAATTCTGTAAAGCTCTGGGGCCCTTTTCCCACCCAGGGGTGGTGTTTTTTAGGGAAAAATTTATTTTTCTATAGAAAAAACCGGGCCCTTTCTGCCGATCTAGAACCAACCTCTCTAATTTGACGGGATGGGGGATAATCGCTAAAGGGGCCCCCCTTTTATTTGCATCCTATTGGGTCATAAATGGGTTGTTGGTTGTGATAGATATAATTTATTTCCCAACCATATTTTTGTTATTGTCACCCCCCCCCAAAAAAATTGAGTAAAAAACTCTCCATATTTGATTTATAGCTTTTGGGATTCGCTGGAAACCCCTGGGGATGCCAACCATCTTTCCAAAATTTTTCTATTTTCCCTTTCCCGACTTAAATTTATTTTTCTCCTAAAATTCTTCCCGTCCTGGGCTTTTATGACCAAATTTTTAAAAATTTTGGGCCAAAAATACTGGTGCCCAAGTAACCCCCCCCCATCCCTCTTTGGGAATGTCCCGCCGAATGCTCCCTTTGTTAGTCATTTCCCCCCCCACATCTTTTAGAGGGATGGGTTAAAGGCCCCCTAATTTTTTTTCCCCCCCCCCTTCCCCTTTTCTTTAAATCAATCACGTTTAAATTTTCTCCTTACAGCCATCAAAACACCCAATTTTCGGGTTCCATTTCTATGGGGTTTTGGGGAAAACTGGGAATTTTGCCAAGGGGGGGGGTTAAAAATGAATCCCAGGTGGGCTGGCCCAGTATTTCAAATTTTTCCACCCAAACCCTGTGGGAATTTTGGGTCTTTTTGATTGGACCCCCAGGTCCAAAACGGGAAACATTTCCTTTTGGGATTGGGCGGGGCAACATTGTCGGGGCGCCCAATGGAGCAAACAAAATTGGTCTCCCCCCAAAGGCCCCCCAGGGTGGATTTTTAACCCCTTTAAACCGGATTCCATCAGGGACCCCCCTCCCTTCCCCCATTGTTCCATTCCTTTGGGGGGAAAACTTTCATATTGGACGGGTTAGTTGAATTTACTTCCGTCTCCCTTGACGGGTTTACCCCGGTCTATTGCTTTTTAGTGGGGTTAAAGACGTACCCCCGCTCCCCTATATCTTTTTTACCCAACAAAAAAAGTAATCTTGACAAGTTCCCCGTCCGTATACGTCCGCGGGAAACCCAGTAAGTTTTTTTCAAAGTCCTCTTTAAATGACTTTTTCATCGTTTTCACCATTTCCCCTGGGGAAAGGGCGTTATAAAACCTTTTATCCTCCATCTTTGGGCGTCCCCCCCCCCCCGTCTCATATCTCCTCCCCCCGTTTTTTCTAAAAACCCTTTGGGCCCCGGGAAAAATCCCCGAGGGGGCTGAACATAAAACAAAGGGGGTTTTTAAAACCCCCCGTTGCGTGTTTATTCCCCCCTGATAAGATTTCCCCAAACCTAATTTTGAATCTTCTTTTTCCCCCCCCCTCCTGCCCCCCTTTTTGGAATCACTCGCCCTTGACGGTCGTATGGGCTTTGCTTTTCCCCCTTTTTTCCCTTAAAAAGGGGAAAGGGCCCAACGTAAATTTTGGGGGAGGGGGTGGTGGACTTGACAACCAGACTTTGCCCCAGACCATTATGCACTCAGGGTCACCCATATTTTTAAAAACCCCCCAACCCCTCCTGTCTTTAGTCCCTTTTGCTCTCCCCCCGGCCGACCCCATACTCACCCCTAGGAAAACACTACAGTGTGATAGGGCGGGTAGGGAAACTTGTTTACAGAGGGGGAAACCCCCGGGCCCGTGGGCCCCTTTGCTCGCCAACTCGCCTTGGGGCTAAATGGTGCTTGTTGTGGTTTTTTAAACCCTTTTTGCCGTGGGTAACCAAAGGACCCAGGTTCCCCCCTTTTGCTATTCTAATTTCCAAGGGGGTTTTCCAACATAAACCCATGGGCCCTTCCCAACAGGCCCGCTTCCATTTTCCTTTTAGTGACTGGTTTCTCCCCGTCCCCCTGGTTAGATAGTGGGGCCCTTCT